TAAACATGCATTTCATGTGAATTTAGAAAATGTAAAGTTTGTCACTTAAACCATATCGTTAATTTGTACAGATGACAGCGATCTCAGGCAAATGTACATAAAATCTAAATTTTACATCTTTCCAAATATTTGAAGTTTAATGCGCTACTGTCATCGCTAGACCCTATTATCAATATGAATACAGCAAAAAACATATTGCATTCTGTATTGTTTGCATCTATTTTGTATTCGGTTTGTGAAAAAGGCCCGTAGCCTACAAGTATCTACTGAATAAAGTTTGATTGATTGACCTCTTAACAGTTATCGAGGTATACTGAAAGTGATCTCCATAGAAGGAATTTATTCTCACGTAAGTGTAAAAATAAAACTTCAACGCCAAAGAATAACCTCGATTATCCGATGAAACAGATTCCATTTGGCGTAAAAGGCAAAAAGGACCTGAAAGTTATATGAAATTCAGTGAAATTCATTCTTTGAAAATCGGTGAAACCAGGTGTAAAAGGGTAAGCATGTCCTGCCCTACCGGTAGAACCCACTTCTCCACAATCTGCATAAAAAAGTATGTTTGTTGCTTGACGCTGCACAGCAGTTCTCTTGCAATGCGACAGCGGCATGTGAACAAACCAGACAATCAAGTGATGGACCAGAATTCCAGCAATCTCATTAAAATCAGATCTAAGTTCTCGCTGCCTCAAAACAAAGATCTGAGGACATCCCATTATGGGTCATGTCAGAACGACCTTTCGCGAACTTTGACCGACCACTGAAATGACTAACAAGAAGTCGACATCAGCCAATTAGAAAGCAGCTTTCTCGAGCTTTACGGCACTCGTTTCAACCTGGTGACTTCCATTAATTTTTAGACTACGTTTGAAAAATATGTTGACACATTTCTCGATTAAAAGTTTGAAAACTGAACAAACCAACATTCCGGAATGTCTACTTTATGGTTGATACTGTATGACAGTACTTCCCATGTACTGTGCAACGCCTCCTCCGTTCAAACGTTTATCCCACGGAAGTGAGAGATAGACGGTAATTTTGACAGAATCAGTCGTACGGGCCGTAACTGTCGTTCGGAATACCCCAGGTTAACGTTTTGGAAGTTGCATGATTAGAAACACATTCCGACTGTCACTTTCATGATCTGGAAAGCGACGCTTTGATTAGTCGGATGAAAGGTCGTTCAGATCTTTGTTTAGCGATAGCGAGAACTAAAATCTGATTTTAATGAGATTGAGAATTCCAGTCACCCGATTCGCATTTACCGGTTTAGTTAAAACTACAAACGATATGTTAAACACACCAGTTCATATTTATTTCGCAATATACCCAGAGTACTATATAGAGATCAGATTGTCTTGTACCACCGCGCGACCATGCACGAGAATCAATGAACGGCTCCATACCGGTTAGCTTGGCCTGCATCAGCGACATATTAACAATCAGTTAAAGATGAGCTGTCCACAACGCTCACAAAAATCAAGAAACTTCTGGCATGGTTAAAGATTTTTAAAAAATCCTATTTCGGGAAAAACACAATTTTTGCACCACCCAAAGCGAATAATGTGTTTAGGATCAGAGGGTTGGATCAGGCAGGTCCGTGTTTACATTGTGATTTTAGATTTCTCAAAATACGAATACTCGATATCGGATTTGACCCACATATTGTCCTATAAGCTTGCACTGTAACAGAAGATGGCGTACCTGGACCTCACATTTGACTTGACCTTGACACTGATACAACTTTTAAAATGTCTGTCATTGTTTACAGTTCTCACTACCGTACCAAGTCCATGTGTTACATTGTGTCCTTGGAAAGCTGGCGGTGTTGTTTACTGACAAGGTCAGATCTTGGCAGAATTAAGTGCGGGCCGGTCAAAGCAATCAACCACATATGGGTTCATAACTGTCACTTTTCACTAAAAAGAAATTATTAAAGTCTGAAAACAAAACTTCTGACCGCCTCCATAGCATCTTGATAATGGCACCGGTCTATCGTGTGCCTCCTCAGACTGCCCAGGCAGCCCAATTAAAGTGCAGCTCAATAGTACCAGGATCCGCAGAAAGTAAATGAGAGAATGTACATATTATAAATAATCGATTCTGGACCGGAAAATCCAGTGATTGACAACATGAGTATCGAGCCTCGCAATGTGGGATCGATGACATGCGTGAACCAAGTCAGCGAGCCTGACCACCCGATCCCATAAGTCGCCTCTCACGACAAGCATAGTTGCCTTTTACGGCAAGCATGGGTTGCTGAAGACCTATTCTACCCCGGATCTTCACGGGTCCCTCGGGCTGTATAAGACAGCCCAATTAAACTGCGGCTCAATAGTACCAGGATCCGCTCATCGTGGGTTTGAATCGAAGATTCGTACTGATGGTGATCCTTTCTGTGGTAACACCAAACTGGTATATGTATGTGGCATGCGTCGCTTTGGGCTTTCCTCCCACATTCAGCCAGCTCGCAGGTATATAAGTTAAACAAAACAGTACAAGAAAGCGGCGTAATATGTGCTCACTCGCGCAAAGAAGAGGAAGACAAAATATTTCGTGTTTTCAGGTCAAAAGAGATACCGTATTCGACGTAATAAGCGCCCAGGGCGCTCTCAAAATTAGACATAGGGAGCTCTTACTAGAATATTATTTTAGTGAAAAAAAAACTGAGTTGAAAGATAAATGTCGTTATTTATGCTGAAATATTTATGTACGACAGCTATATTTTTCCATAATTCAATTACCCATAATTAAGGGAGCATAGAACACATGAGTGCTTATTATACACGAATAAATAAGTCTTGTGTACATTGATCAATCGGAAGGGGTGCTAATTGGGATTGTTCACTAGCCAATATATTAGCAAATATCACCGTGGGCGCTTACTAGAGGGGGCGCTTATTACGTCGAATACGGTAAGTCAATGTGTTACATCAACCACATGTTGACATAGTAGTATCTTTACTCAAGTTTTAGAGGAAATTATAAAATGGCACAGGTCAAAAGAGATACCGTATTCGACGTAATAAGCGCCCAGGGCGCTCTCAAAATTAGACATAGGGAGCTCTTACTAGAATATTATTTTAGTGAAAAAAACTGAGTTGAAAGATAAATGTCGTTATTTAGCAAATATCACCGTGGGCGCTTATTAGAGGGGGTGCTTATTACGTCGAATACGGTAAGTCAATGTGTTACATCAACCACATGTTTTTCATAGTAGTATATTTACTCAAGTTTTAGAGGAAATTATAAAATGGCACAGGTCAAAAGAGATACCGTATTCGACGTAATAAGCGCCCAGGGCGCTCTCAAAATTAGACATAGGGAGCTCTTACTAGAATATTATTTTAGTGAAAAAAACTGAGTTGAAAGATAAATGTCGTTATTTATGCTGAAATATTTATGTACGACAGCTATATTTTTCCATAATTCAATTACCCATAATTAAGGGTGCATATAACACATGAGTGCTTATTATACGCGAATAAATAAGTCTTGTGTACATTGATCAATCGGAAGGGGTGCTAATTGGGATTGTTCACTAGCCAATATCTTAGCAAATGTCACCGTGGGCGTTTATTAGAGCGGGGCGCTTATTACGTCGAATACGGTAATACTTGGATTTAGAAATAAACGTCGACATTTTGTCATGTGGATTTTTTTAGATGAAGGATCCAACAGCATCCGAGCGTTCCTGCTCTGCTTGTTCTGCTACCTACGTAATGCCACGGGTCCAAAACGGGGTAGGGTAGCCGCTGTTCCCGTATTACCTTATTCGTTCATCGTTTTGATTGAAAAGGAAAACCGGAAGCTGTTTCATGTGGGCCGCCATCTTGTGTTTTCAAAACCCGTATCATTATCAAAAGGAATCACTATTTAAATTTAAATTTCGATAAACTCAGATGTACATATTTGGAGAAAGGTTATTAAGGTGGAAATCGTTATATCGGTTTTAAAACAGGACGGTTGAAAGAGTGCGTTGTAAATCCTACATTTCACATTAATATACATTTCTAACGCCGTAGTAACGGGTTGTTCCGTGTCTCCCAGAAGGCCTTTTGAACAGCTGATATTAAGAGATGGAGGGATGAGGGGATACGGAAAACGTAACCGAGCAGTGATAGTTCATAGTCCGGAAAAGATGGACTTCTATTTTCGTTACGGAACCAGTCTCGTCGATCTTCTTACATAAAACTGTCCTAAACACAAACTTGTGTTGTGAAATGTCATAAACGTGCTGGAATTTAAGGCCCCTTACAAAATATATTTGATATCATAAATAGACTCCATGTATGCAACACATTTCACGTTAAACTGAAAGTTGCAAACGCACTTTTAATAAATTGACAATGCATTCGTTTCGCATACGATTACCACTAATTCCTAGTCTGAGAGACTCAGATGCCTAAGATGGCCAGAGAATAATTAAATAGCCCTAACCAGCAAACTGCACCATTTCACAAACGTGATTGGTATATATGCCAAGTTTTATGGATGACTGATGAATAGGGTTTGAGTTCATCCCTGAAAGGGTGGCCCAGTAGTCTTAGGCGCCGCGATTCGCTGTGCAGAGTTGCGTCCCTTGGGCATGCCAGAAACCTATGATTGTGGGTTCGAATCCTGGCTCGCCCCGATTATGTTTCTAGGTTTGTCAGCACCATACCCGTGCTCGTGGTTTTCACCGAAGTGGTAAACGTCCTAGACCTGCATCTTTTCGGGCTTTCCCACATTAAGCTGACACGGCGTGATGTAACTGGAATACTGTTAAAAGCGGCTTTAAACCCAACTCACTCACTCACTCACTCCCTGTATGGAGAGCTCCGCGAACTGGATATCGCTGTGAGGAGCTTGCCCCCATTCGTCATCAAATGCGTCGTTGCTACTATGACGTCACAAACGGCGTCACGTGACACTTCGACAATCATTGCCTGCTGGAGTGCCGTGAAAATGGGATGGCTTAGCGCTTTGCAGGAGGCGTGTGCGTTGCCGCTGCAGTGTGTACGTGGTGGAGATGTCGCTGTTGAAAGAACAATACAAGAAGCAGGGTAAGATATGGTAAAGTTGTATCAAACGTTGCCGAAAGACATTGTAAAGTTGTATTAATCGACGCAGAAGGATATTGTAAAGTTGTAATGAAAATGGTGCGGATAGATGTCGTAAAGTTGTATCAAACGGTGCCGAAAGACATTGTAAAGTTGTATTAATCGACGCAGAAGGATATTGTAAAGATGCATTGAAAACGATGCGGAAAGATGTAAAGTTGCTTTAAACGGAAGATGTAAAGTTGTAAAGTTTTATTAATCGACGAAATCAGTTAATATAGCCGAAAATAGAACTTTGTGCCTTAGGCTTCAAAATAATGATGTATATATCACGTTTATATTGTATTTATAAGTTTTCAGTTCAAGATGTATATTTCCAGGTCCATACTCTCTAGCTTGCCCGGCTCTGTGGTCAAGAACGCTGAAGTTGATCTTGGTAAATACCTTCGTCAAATTAAAACATTTTGGTGAATGTTGTTTTAAACCTCGGTCAGCTATGTAAGTGGCTGAAAGCATAAGCAAGGGTGTAAGCCAATCACAGTCCACAAATGACGTTCGCGACACACATGACGAACCGTATTTCCTATATTAAAAGCTGACATCTGTTATTGGCCTCTTGTACAGCCTCACTCATTCATTCATCAATTAACATGACACGAGACGGTCTTCCGCATGGACCTACTCTGTACAACATGTACTTCGTTAATGAGCGTCCGGGCTTCATACAAGAAAGGCGGTATAATGGGAAACCATTCTGCCAAGTTATGCCACAATAAATATATTTACTTATAATAAGCCATAACAATACAGTCTTGCCAAAAACATTTTTTTGAATGTCCGTTTAACTATATAAATGATAATTAAGTACCGGATACGTTAGCTTAATAAATACAATCAATGTTATTGACATTTCTTTACAAGAGTGCAGTCTTTAAATCGTCTGTTATCCACAGATCTGAAGTCTGGATTTGCGAAAGCAGTCTTCACTGGTGGGGCTACGCTGTTGTGTAAGTAATGTGTCCTGTCATGATAGTTATCATCATCATACCAACTGTCTAGTCTATAACTTTGTACCTTAGGCTTCACAATGCAACAGAGTGTGAGTTTGGCTTAACGCCGCTTTGAACACATTTTCAGTTATTTCACGGCGTGTCGGGAAAAGCCCGAACTGATCCAGTTCTGTGACGTTTACCACTTTGATGAAAGCCACGAGCAGGGGTATGGTGCTGGCAAACAAAGAATCGGAATCAAAGCCTGTATTTATATACCGGTTGTTTGATGTGGATAGAAAACCAACAACAGACGCTAACCACGTGAAACACACGACTACAAGTGTGGCGCTGTATGAACATGATCATAATCGGGGAGTTAAAAAAAAATGACCAGTGGATCCTGGAACGGCTAAGGGACACCACTCCACATTCGTGTCCCAAATAACATACACAATATATATCCCATTTCAGGTGTTGCAGGAATAACCCACCTCTGGAACACGTATGGAGGCTCTTCTCTGAGACGTAAACATTTCAATGGCGAATCAAAAGTCAAGGACACATGCTCGCTCCAATATGAAGCTGGAAAAGTGGAAGACGCCGAGGAGCTACTGTACGACCCTGAGTGGTGTCTCCCCCCTGGGAGCCTGTGGTGCGAGGTGGCGGGGGATGCCTGGTCCAGAGGGGAGGGGGTTCCCTGTGACCCACACTACGGGCTTCCCCCCTGGATGGAGGGAGACACGGGGGGAGAGGAGACTGAGGACGAGAGCCTCAGCTGGGAGGAGGACTTCAACCTACAAGCAGGTGTCCTCTGGGCGGACATCAGTCCAGTGGAGGATTTGGTGCTAGAGGCATCTTACCAACTGAAGGAGGAATAGCCAAGGAGGGGGAGGTGTAGAAGGAGGGGGTGCAGATGAAGGAGGTGCAGGAGGAGGACTTCAACCTACCAGCAGGTGTCCTCTGGGCGGACATCAGTCCAGTGGAGGATTTGGTGCTAGAGGCATCTTACCAACTGAAGGAGGAATAGCCAAGGAGGGGGAGCTGTAGAAGGAGGGGGTGTAGGAGGAGAGCGAGAAGATGAAGGAGGACTTAGAAGGAGGCGGAGAAGGAAGAAAGTAGAAGTGAGTGTTGGAGCAGGAGGTTCAGAAGGTGAAGAAGGAGATGCAGGAGAGGTGTAGAAGATGTAGAACTAACCCCATGGAACTGGGTTGTCTCCATGAAAAAATACTTTTTGAGAAAAAAAACTTGTTGTTGTTATTGCTATGGTGTTTTCATCTTGTGGAACATTTTCTTAAAACTCATATACAAATATATTACACCTGCTTAGTGCATTATAAGCCACAGGTGCTAAAAAAAACGGTTTTTATTTACAAAAAATATTTATTTTGTTACCAGATTTTTATTATATTTTCATTGAATTATTTAGTGGATGTTAAAAAAATATATTGCAATGTTATTATTAGTTAATAAAATATCTTAAATCGTATTTGTGGTGTCCTGATTGTGTCATGTGATAGTGTTGACTAACACCACTATTCACTTGCAGCTAGTTTAATATCTTCAAAGTTATGGTGATTTGATAGACAGAAAACCCATACTGTTTAACCCCTGAAACAATGGAAGTGTCACTATATGGAATGCTAAAAGGGACATTTGTCACCCTTTGTTTGTTTGCTGTTTAACTCCGCACTCAGTAATATTCCAGCTGTATGACGGCCGTCAGTAAGATAATCCAGTCTGGACCAGAGAATCCAGTGATTGACATCATGAGCATCGATCCACACAACTGGGATGCCATGATATATATGATCCAAGTCAGCGAGCCTGACTACCCGATCCCATAAGTCGCCTCTCACGACAAGCATGGTCGCCTTTTACGGCAAGCATGGGTTGCTGAAGACCTATTCTACCCTGGATCTTCACGGGGATCACCCTTTGGTAAAAAGGATATTATTCAAAGTGCAACAATGCAACAATTGGTCCAAATGTGGCATGGGTCACGTTCTCATGATGTCTCGATCTGGTATATGTCTGCATGGAATATCTGCAGTTTGATATTTCTCATTCAGTCATGTCAATGTTCTCCACAGGGTAATATCCTATTTTGTGGCTAGTAGATGAGTATTGAAGTAGAATTCAACATCATTCAACCGTTGCAACCACATTCAGCAGAAGATAAAAAAAAAACATCACATATTGATGAATGATTTTATTTCGTTTTTCTTCAGAAATATTCAACAATTATCTGTATGAAAGTCTACAGATGGATCATAAATACTAAAACAGGCAAATACAGGACCTCGGACAGGATGTCGAAATATGCTGAACAATGTCCGTGTCAGTGTCTAGTAATGATAGATTTCAGAGACAGATCATTCATTCTCCTTAAGGCACTAACTTGTCTAGTTGCTATGGTAACAATCTCTAAACTTAAAAGTTTATTCCTAACAGGGAATCACACTTAAAGTAAACATTCAGAGTTAAGAAACTTTCTGTCTTAAAATGATTTTTGTCTGTTACGGCTAACAAATGGACCAGCAATTGCCATATTTATTCAGGAACCTTTGCCCAAGTAATAGGTTTTGGTCCCAATAAACTTGTAAAACCTAATGCTGATGAGGCGGTAATTGTAGTATCATGGCAAGAAAAACAGAAGGGTAAGACCACTAAAAAGCTGAATCATGAGTCATATTTCCCAATGTATGTACCCAAAGAAACCAAGCCATGGTTACAAATTGCAGAATGTAGCATGTTACAAGGCTGTGCCTCCACCTTCAAGTGAGTGAGTGAGTGAGTGAGTGAGTTGGGTTTAACGCCACTTTTAACAGTATTCCAGTCATATCGCGGCGTGTCAGCTTAATGTGGGAGGAAAGAACGAAGTGATGCAGGTCTCAGACGTTTACCACTTCGGTGAAACCCACGAGCAAGGGTATGGTGCTGACAAACCTAGAAACATAATTTGAGCGAACCGGGATTCCAACCCACAATCATAGGTTTCTGGCGTGCCCAAGGGACGCAACTCTGCACAGCGAATCGTGGCGCCTTAGACGACTGGGCCACCCGTGCCCCCCCACCTCCAAGTGATAAGGCCAGGCAAGTTTTGTTTTCCAGAGGAACAAGTCCTGACTTATGTTAAGGCCAAACGAAGAAAACAGTTTAAGCGCTGTGTTAACAGTATGCTCTTTGTAAAAGTAAAACTTGACTATTCAAACTTTTATGTTTCATGAAAATAAATAAGTTCCCTCAGCCACAATAACTTAATGATTAGACTTCAAAATGGAGTTTGTAAGCATTATATTTTCAGGGATAAGACAATGATGAGAGGCAGAGAGTTTGGAAGTGATGAGGAGATAACCTACAGGTATTACAACCTAATAATAAAATATACTTAATTTAATATTTGATGAATTCTATGTTTTCATTTTTCCTTCTAAAAGTGATCTCAAATCTATAATGGCCTTTTTCATGCTGCCTCAAATCAGTTTGGGCTAAACAAGTCAGTAAACACCCACCATTGGCCTATATACACAGTTGCTGAAACATCTTGATTGTGCATTAAGCAGTCAATATGTAGACAAGCAAACCTTATACACAGCCAAGCATGAATGTGAGGTGTGTTTAGAAACACGGTGACCAGACCCGCTCATAAATATCAAAGACATCATATAATTGAGACAGGAATACCGTACTGACCAGGTACATGATAAAACCATATTTCCAATACCCTCCAAAATGTTAGTAGGCATTTATGTAATTTTTTTATAAGCAAACATATTTAAATTTGTATATGAAAATATACCTAACATTGTTGATAACATTCCCTGTAGGAATTATTAATTAGGATGATATTTATAACATTATGTTCCTGATGAAAATGAACCTTAGAAACTTATGAAAATTTGTAGAGATTCTGTAACATTCTTAAGTGAGAAACTTTGAGGTGTAGAGTCATTGGACATGTCACATACATATTTAACAGTTAACCAGACTTAAGTTGGCATACAAGTCATATTCCAGTGTAGCAGACATAATTTTCAGAGATTTATTTCAGGATAAAATACCTAATATTTTGTACATAGGAATCAAAACTCTTCTTCTCAAACAACAATATTTCAATTTGCCCTGCAAAGTGAATTATGATAGCAAGCACAAACTTTCCTCTTCAGTGTCATGTAATGATATCGGCCTGATATTTACCCTTGGTGCAAAAACTACTGACGTTTTCCAATGATAATTCTATAAATAATCTGAAAGTATGAGTTTAGAGATCCGGGGATTCCCTATGTACTATCCAACTTCGGTACTATGTTCTATCTATAACTGAAATTATCATTGCTACACTGAAATAAGACGGACATCGAGATTATGCCAACTGAAGAATCCAAATGTCCCCGAACTAAATCCTGCATAAAGGTCCATGAAGTTGAAGGTCATCTGATAGTTTACAAAATATGAAAATAGAAATCCATGTGCAGAATTCACATATTTACAAGTCAAAACAATAAACAACCAGGTATTTCAACTACTTTCTCCTCTCAACTTCTAAGACATCTTTCCGGGGCCAGGGAGTTAACTGACTATAAAAGTCCAGTTTCCACCCTTGCAGAACTTGGCTGGAATTGATGGGCTCAATCATAGAGCCACCAGTGGCTGTTACGAGTTACGTCCCTTCTATGTCCCTCCTACTGTCCAATCAGATTCCATCTCTCATATCACTTACATTTGACTCGTTAGTCCAGTCAAAACATAACTCCATAACGCCAGCCTAGTTCGGCAAGGGTGGAAACTGGACTTTTATAGTCAGTTAACTCCCTTGCCTCGGGAAGATGCTTCTGAGAAGGCTCTTGTCTCTAAATTAATGGAGATAGTAAATTCAGAAATAAGATAAGGTGATACAATGCTGCGTGTGCTTCCAATTGTACACCATTTGCTTGTTTGTTTGTTGTTCAACGCCGCACTCAGCAATATTCCAGCTATATGACGGTGGTCTGTAAATAATCGAGTCTGGACCAGACAATCCAGTGATTGACATCATGAGCATCGATCCACGCGATTGGGATACGATGACATGCATCAACCAAGTCAGCAAGCCTGACCACCCGATCCCGTTAGTCGCCTCTTACGACAAGCATAGTCGCATTTTACGGCAAGCATGTCACACTCATCAATATTTCAGCCAGACGGCGGCCTTGGAATAATTCAATCTGGAAAAGACAAACCAGTGATTGACATCATGAGCATGTATCT